CCACCTGCTGACCTTTTATCCAGACTGACGTAACCTCGTGACTGGGTTACTCTTAACGCCGCCCCACCTTGTGAAGGGGAATATTATACCTACGGCTATTCCAGGATAGATTTATTAGTGGCACCATAAAGGGAACATGGATACGCAATCAGAACGCAGCTCAGCTACCTCTCTCTTTTCCCTTGAAGATCCTATTGTACTCAGTGTGGTTCAAGCATCACAGATACACAGGTTGATAGTTAGGCATAACATAGCTGAGGTTCAGCTGAATCAACGAATTTATTAGATACTATGCAGTACAACTATAGATATCTTACTGCAAAAATGGATGTGTCCTAAAAGCAATCGTGAACTAAGTAGTTTATTCCACCATGAGTAACTTCTATTCGCCCAGAAAACGGAGGTAGCCTGGCGGAATTTAGGAGACTGAATGACACCCCAGTCAAAACTGTGAAGTCTTTGCCTCAGAATAGCCAATATATTTTTGTAAGTGCTTTAGGGAGAAGTTATACTGAGGAGATGTAAAAAATGAGAATATACTATTATTATTATTATTAGATAATAAGACCACCACTTCGGCCAAAATTTGGGGGGTTTTCTCGGAAGTTATGCACCGTACTGCAGAGTTTGAAAGCACAAATACTTAGGATATGTTACATAAGTAGTTGCTCCACCTATGTACTACAAACGCACACATTTACTTTGCGGTATTGATAAGAGTACCGGCATTATTAGTGGATGCCTACTTACGCAAAAATGTTGCCTTTTAACTACTTTTTGTAAAGCTATGAGACGTACGCTTCATTACCTATTATTTGACGTTTTAGTTAATCTGTTATTGAAGATAAAATCTATAAAGAAGGCAAGCTAATGGAACATCTGCGTTATTTCGTTACTTCATAAATGTATGAACCTTTCGGTAGATATTTATTTTTCACTACTCCAGGATTTCACAAATACATCGTAATATATTGTGGATGTTATAACTTGTTAACTCGAAGTCCTGCAAGTTTCTCGACTTATTGAAAGTAGGGCTTTGAGTGTAAATGCGAATCCTCTCTTTTTAAACACACCTATAGTCATGCTCACTTAAAACGCTTGAATTCGTCATTCGATGCGCTGTCTCTTTTAGCTAGTTTGAGGTGTGAATGAGTACTGCTAGTGTTAGAGACTGTCATGGCTCAGTTACGAGTACTTTATAAACGCTTCACGAGGTTAAGAATCTAACGAGATAACACATAGATGTCACACATCCGACTGACATACCTTTTCTTGATATCAGATCAGTTAATCAGCTTAGTGAGACAAAGTCTAAGGAAGACTAACACTGTGTGCTTGGAAACCCAACAGACGTGTTACTTGGTCGCACAGTGGCACGATACGAAATAGAGAAAATTCGATTCGAAAAAGATTTTAAAATCAAGTGTACTACCTGAGGATTTCTAGTTCCTTCATTTACCTTGTGATGCTAAATAGTATTATAAAGATACTGGTATTCACATCATACACTAATTTGTACAGCAGATATTGGGTGATCTAAGATTAACCTGAGGGCAGTATGTGCTCTCTACATTCACTTCTTAACTAAAGTATCGCTTGGAGTATGGGATCGCATCCATTATTCCCTGATAAAACTGTCAGACCAAGCACGAGAAATAATGTAGGTAGCTATATACACTGCCCATCTACTACTGACACTCCTTACGATATGAATCTGCATCGTTAACTTAAACCAGTAGTGAAGCTTTCAATGTATGAAGGAATAAGCCAGATCGCTGCTTTGATTTTTATTGGGTTAACATGTGCGTATTAGTAATACCTCCCAAACTAGGACGAAAACTCTGTTCAGTACTCTCTAGATTTCCCTGGTTCTCTGGCTGATATCAGTCTGTGTGCAAACGTGAAACACCATATGCCTAAAAGCAGGTCTGTAGACATAATGGCCAAGGGTTTTTTGTGACAGTGTTAAATGGGCACCTCAGCAGTAACAAAACTACCACTATAAGTCACTAGTGGGAAGCAATAAAGACCAGTGTTATATAACTGCAATGAAGTGTCGGCAGGAATTTTCAAGATAGCCAATATAATTAATTTTAACCGCAACGAGTAGCAAGGACACGATGGAGTCTAACTAAACGAATGACCCCCTGAGGTTTAGCAGTGGAAGTGGTGGCGGACACAAGAAAATGATATCTGAAAAATGAGCATGAGAAAAGTAATGCAACGTGGCCTGCTGAGATGCATGAAAGTGATTCAGTGATGCATCAGAAGAGTGAGATTACATTCATTACTTAGAATTTATGCCGGAATTTAAATGCGAATCCGAGTCGCATTCACAAGTAATGACTAACAATTTTCCACAGTATTCTCTTCAGGCCAGCTTTCTGGAACCCTGTTGCTTGATTTTACTTTTCAGATTTGCTACTGACAGTAAAATGGTCTGCTTGCTGTCGCAGGTCAGACTGCTGGTCAAATAGCACTGGTCAGCTAGCATTATCCACTTGAAACAGGAAAACATATGGGTGTAACTGCACATTTCAGTATACGGTATAGTGGAAACAGGAATGCAATATAGGGAGCACTGCCATTAATACTTGCCAAAAAGATCTAATATCCCCTTATGTCTGCCCTGTAGTTAACTAGTGTCACAATCACTGGTGGTCTGAATTTACGAAGCGAAATTCGATTCAGCGCCTGGCTAAAGTGCTGCATAAACACCCTAGTGGCTTCCATTATGGGTAAATTTTATTTTGATAGAGTCTCACAGTGTTATACAGTAATATTTACTGATGACGTTTCGAGCACAATTTATTGCTCATAATCATATCAATCATATCATACCTTGATATGATTATGAGCAATAAATTGTGCTCGAAACGTCATCAGTAAATATTACTGTATAACACTGTGAGACTCTATCAAAATAAAATTTACCCATAATGGAATTACACTCTACCACAGTGCCCAAGTTTTATTCTTATATCAACCCTAGTGGCTTGTCCTATTCCTCCCCTTGAATTTAGTGTAGGATCCAGTATCATGGGCCGAAACCCCAGCTCGACCAAACGTTTGAGAAACTGATATAAATGCGATCGCCTCGGTAGACAACTGGGTGAAATGGTACATAAACCCAGAGTCCCAAGTAGAAGTCTCATGGAACCAGTTGAAGCAACTTTGCGCTCAGATAACTGAACCTTTCGTCCCTTGGTCTGTCCCAAAGGACGGGAAACATTGCACACCCCCCTCGCTTTCGATAGACTGAGTGAATCATGGATTATTCAGAAGTAAACACAAATGCTGGGACCTGTTTACGACACCTGAGACCAAGGAGTTATGCAACGTAACGTCGCTAGGAACAAAGCCAATGAAGGGTGAATTTCGAAACGCCTCTGGCTCAAAATGCAATGGCACAACTTTCAAGCTATATCTCCTAAATGCAGTGTTACTGAACAACTGGAAAGATGCCATAGTAGTCTCCATCCACAAAGGAGGATCAAGAAAATGAATGCTCCTCAAACTACAGGCCAATTAGTCTCACCGGAACCTTAATCAAGATACTGGAAAGAATAATCAAGAAAGCTATTAAGGCATATCTGGAAAACAACGACTTGTTATCCAGAGCACAGCATGGCTTCTGAGGAAACCTTTCATGCCTCTCAAATCTCCTCACTGTAAGAGAGAGCTGGGTCAAGCGTCAAGTCAAGAGACAACAGAACACCCATCGATGTCGTCTTCATAGACTTCAGCAAAGCCTTCGATAAAGTGCATCACAAAAGATTACTCGTGAAGTTGGAAAGTCTAGGCATCAAAGGCAGCTTATTAAAATTAAACAGGGAATTCCTCATTGATAGGAGGCAGAGGGTTAGAATCAACTCAAAACTCTCCTCCTGGACAATGGTGAGTAGCGTATTGCCACAAGGCACGGAACTCGGACCTCTGCTACTTATTTTGTACATAAATGAGTTATCTATGCTCGCTGATTCCACTATGGTCCTATGCGCAGATGACTGAAAAGTTTGAAGAGAGCTGAAGAGCAACAGTGATACGCTCAAGCTGCAAGTGAACCTCAACAAATTGTCAGAGAAATGTGCAGCCATGCGCATCGGACAAGTAAGCATCAGCTCCTACGAACCAGAGGGAATAACGCTTCCATCAGACTCATTCGGATTTAAGTGCCATAGTAAGTCACGATTTAAAAACTATAGCACATTGTTGCGCGGTGGCTGCACGTAGTTTCAGATTCTTATTGGCATTTCGCAGAACCTTTACTAGAAACACCAGCGATATGTTCACATCCGTATATGCACCTGTGATTATATCAGGAGTGGAAAACTCTATCCAGGCAGCCAGTCCTTGCCTTTGAGGGAACTCACATATTCTAGAAAGGGTCCAAAGGAAGGCATGACTAATTTATCATATGTAGAAAGACTAAATAGTTTAAAGCTCTCCTCCCTGTCGTACCGTAGGCAGAGAGGAGATTTAATTACTATGTTTAGAATTTTAAATCATGACTAGGGACCTGACCTATTCTCTCTTTTCCTTCCTGCCAGGTCAGAACACCTTAGAAGACATAGCAGGAGAGTTTAAAAGCCAAGAAGAAATCATATTGCTGTTGAGTATTGGTTCTCACGTGGAGTCATAAACTCTTGGAACCGACTCCTAGGAGAAGTGGTGTTTGCAACCCCAGCTGATTCATTCAAGAAGGGTTTGGAAAATCACAGAAATTTACTAGAAAAAGGTTAACATAGGTTCCAAGCCTTCTATTATCAACCAATAAATCTGAAATTTATGAAGTCTTGGACTTGTATCTATACACAAATATTTAGTTGAAAACCGCTCACTAATGATATACTGAAGGTTAAAATAAGCCGGTTAACAATAGTTTTATCTCATGTATTATTTTTCTCTAACCTGTGAAAGCTACTCAAATTATTATCATGCAAATGCACTACGCTGATCCAAAGAAAGAAAATGAAATAGACAGATAAAAATATGCCACACTTCAGAAAAAATGGTTAGTTTACATTCACAAACTGGTGCTTGCGAGAACGAAGAAATCATCAATGTGATTTCTGATGATGATCATAAAAAACGATATTGGACCTTGAAATTGAGGATATAATCCTTAAGCGCATTCTTTATTCGTAGGCGCTATGTCCGAGCACGACTTGACGAGGAAAATTAGTGGTTTTTTGGATAAGCATCTAATTTTGCCACTCTTGGAGTATATATCTGTTAAGCATGTGAGTCCCTTGCGCGTGTTTATTGTTAGATATATGATGATAAAAGCCTTTTGAAGACAAAATGGGAAGTTCTCCTGGGTACATCCATGGTTGATTATGCCGCAGACACTTATCGGTCTACGTATGATACAGAGCCACCTCAGGGTAAGTAATAAATCTATTTTTATTTGTGCTAGAACTTCTTGACAAAAGAGAGAAGGTCCTGGAAAGAATTCGAGATATGGAGGTGAAGTTAGGACCAGTTATGGTTATCTTTAGCCAAGAGACAATGAATGAAGTTGAGCAGTGTAAAAACGCAAAGGATTTACTGGCCAGCTTGGAGGCCAAGTATAACTTCAAACCAGAGATGCTCAACGACATGTTTGATGCAGCACGTGTAAGTTTGGTTCTTATCGAAATATTATAATATAGTTATTCATTGTGGCGATATATTACCACAATAAGTAGCCATATTCTTGTCTGTGTCTTACTCATATTCGTTTATCTGAATTTGCTTTACGAGACTTTCAATCTTGCTCACAGATATTTTACGATACGGGGAATTACAATACAGCTTCTGAGTATCTCAAAACTGTTCGTCAGCTTGTAACTCCTGGTACCCAAAGACACTTGGATGCTTGCTGGGGTCGTCTAGCTAGCGAAATTTTGGTTCAAAATTGGGATGAAGCATTGGAGGACTTGGAAAAGCTGAAGGATGCCATAGACTGTCAAAATGAAGATAGGGTAAGTGTAGTGGTTTGTTTGTATGCAAGTGACATGCATGAAGTTAGATGCAAGTGCGTTTACTTCTCTGCTATCTGTTTCAGTCCAGTATTCAGTATTTGGTTTTAAACCTACCATTCCTCCTGTTGTTGGGATTTAGGACACTTCCACGTATTTCCCCGTCGTATTCTTATTTGTATCTGTTCCAATCTTTACTGTATTTCGTAGGATGACAGTTTAGGTTAATGAATTTCTGTCCAATCTGTCAGACGCCTTGATGTGAACATTTCCAGTCTCACTTCTCCTATAAGCCTAGTAAAACGGTACTCTTTTAGATGCTCACAATTTTGTGAATATGTTCATCACTTTTCTTATAGCTGACGCTTTTTAATTGTCATTTTATTTCTTGTATTGAAGATGCTCCCGTTTGTTCCTAAGGTCTGGTCAGCACTTTAACCTCAAAATATGACTATGGCTCTCTGTGTGTGTTTGGTAATTCAGTTATTCTTCTGGTTGAATATTACCATATATTGATCTGGCCTACAGAGTATGAGCGTATGTCATTAAGGGCCAGTTAGAAACATTCCTTGTTGTCTTCCAGATGTTAGGGTTACTCCCATCTAATATATTGGGGAATAGTTGTTACCTTTATCACATCCTTAAAGTTGCTAACTACATTTTCAAGTAGCAGATGAACCAACTTGAAATTTCTCACAGGTCTGCATCAGCTGAATTTGCTATACTTTGTAAGGCATATAAATGAAGAGACCATGAAAGAAATAGTAATATAATGAAAAAAGACGAAATGCAAAAACTTTTCAACATTTTCATTGCTTTGCTTTATTGAGTGATTATTACAAAGTACTAAGAATTTTAAAAATCACTTAGTGATTCCACCCATCACTAGTTCAAATTATAATAATCAAGTCACTTCTGACGTATATGTGTGCTTGTATAACCTTATAGTCAATGTTTGTTTTTATGTTTAGCCGGCATCTCGTACCTATCTAATACAATTACAACAACGTACATGGATGCTACACTGGTCACTTTTTGTCTTCTTTAATCATCCACAAGGAAAAGAAAAGTTAATTGAATGGTTCATGCAAAATCCTACGTGAGTATCTCACTTTTACTGTATACTTTAGTGTGTCTCTTCACTATACTTTAATCTTTTCTTTTTCTCATAATTTAGAGCTTAACATTATTGTTAACGCAATTCGCTATAAGAGTAGAATCATGAGCTTTCGATTAAGCCAAATTCTATATCAGACAGAACACGGTGATACAGTATTAGTAACAAGATGACTTTTAGAGCACAATATATTGATTATAATCACATCAACATATCCACTACACCTTTTAACTTGCTTTCTGAAGTCCTACTGCTTCATTTTTTCACAGTGTTCAGGTTTGGTGTTGCATAACTTTTCTTAAATCTACTAGGCGTTGACTTGATGAATAGAAATTCTGTCGGAATCTTAGCTTGATTTCTCAAATATTTAACCGAACCCTTTCACTAATATGTGATGAGATGATTCAAAGCCAAAATTATCTATCAAGATTTCAAGGTTTTTACTGATGCTGACGTCCAAACTGTTTTTGGTTTGTATAACATTAAGGTAAAGCATATCGTCTAAACGATTGTAAGGTCAAATACATAGGTGCAACCAATCTATCATTGTCAGACTGGTTATCATAACTTAAGAATTTGACTAAATCTGAAGTGACCTATCCAATTGATCTTAGCCAATGTAGAAAAAAAATAATTGTTACTACGCTTGAGTTAGCATATAACCTTACAATACAGTAGATAATTATAAGTTATTATGGTGAGCTGGAGGAGAGAAGAATAATCAGTAAGTCTTTGTTCGTGGAATCGGCACCCAATTAGGTGTAACGAGAATCACGCAGTGCATCCCGAATATAGGAAAAGTTGTTCTGGGGAAAAACAGAGAAATAGAAAGTTCTTGTAAATATGTCGATATAACTATATACAGGGAATTGTGCTCGACTAATAATCTAATTATGAGGGCTGAATCACTATATACCATATCAGTTAAACTTATCTAGCTTGAAAGTGAGTACTGTTTATCATTTGAAAAATGCGTGACTTCAGGATTAAGTTAATTATCGATCGTAACTGTTTAGAAGCAACCGCTCATTACACTTTGGTTGGAAAGTATATAAATTAATAGGAATCAGTGTGTGATATGTCTCATCTATCTGATAATTGCAATGTATCAGTTATATCATACAACTAAAACTGAGAGGCGATTATATTCACTCCACATCTTCGAAATACAGTTGAACTTATTTACTCCTCCTTTTTGGAGCACAAAATTTCTCTTCCTGTCATATACTGTCTCAATTCTTTTAACCATTTTCAAATTTATTTGCTCTCATATGTATTCTCAATACAACATCTTCATCGTCTCATAACTGTGACCTTTGCAAGTGACCTGGGTCATTGAAACACGAGTTTTAGTCTCTGCGAAAGTGACAATAACATACATTGCAATTAGTCTATGGGATTTCTTCCCACCTTTATTTATATTCTTGAATGTTAGTAATAACACAACTGTTTCTGTAAACCATGGAGTCAGTAACATTATGCTTTTTGTACTCACAAAACGAATTATTACTTCGGGCCTTTATAACTATGACCGTCATAATTCAACTTTCAACCGTTTCCTGTCTGACAGGTTATTTTGTCGTGCGTTTACCAGCATCTGTATTTATGAAAGCACTGCACTCACTACAACTCAGAATATATTGCCTGCCATATCTGGACAGTCATTCAGCTGTGGTGAATATTCTACCTGTGTGCTAATCCATAGGCCCCCTTAGTTCTGTGTCAATATTTCGGCTATCTTCAGTACGTGATTTAAACTCGAATTCACAAGCGTTTCAACTATCCTTCCAGTTAATCAAATGAATGCCAACTTTAAGACTGTCTGTTGAATCAGCAGACTTATCAGCGCACGAATCCTTGCTGTGAAGTGACCTTACTAGTTAGTATGCAACCGACTAGTTTTAATATCAGTGTAGCTCACTGGCTTAAGTGGTTCTCTTTGAGTAAATGCAATTTTTCCCTTTAAATTCCAACGGGTTGTTCAAAATCGATTTTATCTTTTTGATATAGTCTTTGTTCATGAACATCGTATCTGAGCCATTAGCTAGCTTGTCGCGATATCGTGGCTTTATGTCGTTTGGTTGATGGTGGCTAGCAGCGGAGTTCAGGATGCGCATTTGGCTTTATTTGGGAGTTAACTGGATATGCTTGCCAGCCACTATCAACAAAATAATATCAAACATGGTCGGAGCACCCGTATTAAGTGCCAACATGTCAACAGTGACCATGCGTTACGTTCCAATGTAGATTAGTGAATGGGGAATTAAAATTAACTTGAACAAGTTATAGGTGATATCCTTTGTACGAGAGGTGACTCATGGTCCCATGACCTAGTGAATACCGCTTTGGCGTTTGAATCGATGGATGCTGGGTCAAAGTCTCAATGGAGATCCCATCACTCACGGGGATGCAAGTACATTCAGTTGTGTACGGGTGAAGTTTTATTTTGCAAGGTGCATAGACTGTGTGCAAAGTATTAAGCTTTCAGATTTTCTTTATTAGTATTTAATGCACATTTCAGTATTTAACATCAAGTACGTTTTTTCAACTAAAATTTTATTTGTATTCTGACTTATTTTTATACTAGACACTTAAATGCTATTCAAACTTTGGCACCTCATCTTCTACGTTATCTCACCGTCTGTGTAATCACTAGTACTGATAAGAAAAAGAAAAATCTCATTCGAGATCTTGTTTATCTAATTCAACAAGAGAGTTATTCTTATCGAGATCCAGTGACTGAGTTCTTGGAATGTCTATTCGTCAAATTTGATTTTGATGGTACTCAACAAAAACTACGAGTTTGTGAGACAGTAAGTTTTCAATTTATAAATAAAATTCTACTCGCGATGACCAGATTTTGGTATTTACCAGGTTCTCGCTGAATTCATTTCAGGTCTGGGGCTTTTCAGTATGCTCCAACATTGAGCTATGTTAACCAGGACGTATTTCAATACTGTTATAATGCATTGATTATGTCCTTAAGAATCCTATATTTCAGTACTTGTGCTGGTGAAATGATTGAAGCGTTGCTTCGTTATATTATTTAGCTGTCTCTTTCTTCTGGAACTTGTGTTTTGTACGGCGGGCCATCTTTTTCCTCGAGCATAGGATTAGGTTGAAAATGAGTTTGGAGTGATCAAATCAAAATTGGCATCTGTCCTTGAACTCTCTGACTGTTAGTGTGAGCCACGTAGGGTGGTGTAGACTGAATGTCTGGGGTTGTCAAGATGATAACTAATAGCTTGGGACTGTTGATGATATGGTTCAAAATCACTCTTAGTGGCTCAGGTAAGTGCACTCTTTACTACTTCCTAGGCCCATTCAATTCTTATTATTCTGTGTACAATTATCATTTCTCTCTGACATTCCTCTTCCTTGAAGTTCCTGTACGTTTTTTCTCTACATTTGTGTGTATATGAAATGTGGCAACTTGATGTAAGTTCAGACCACTGTCTAATGCAGTGCACCTTCAAAATTTAGGAGACTATCGATGGTGGCTTTTTGGCTTCCATCGTTATCAGTGCACACAGATTGAAGAGGAAGTGAAGGGCCATCAAGTAGAGGAGTTGCATTGGTAGAAGGAAGGCAAGATAATAGAGATGAAGATGGATACAAAGATGAGTGAGGAATAGAGAGGTTTTGCGTGCACTTTGGAGTGTGAGGGCGATTGTTACTTCCCGGCTGCCCACACCGTGGAAGTTGGTTGCGTGACCGCAGAGCCCAAGGGACAACTGCTTGAGGCCGGTCACACACGGCCTGCTTTTGTTTGTTCTTTTTTATTTGGTGTGTCTCAGTAGCGTATTTATCACTTCTGCCCTGTGACACGGCAGCAGAAAGCGCGGTCGTTGTTAATCCGGGCCCCGACTGATCCGGCATGATATTTTGTGTTTTTGTTTGAGTCATGGCATTGGATTGGGTAGCTGCTTTTTGTCTAACCGCTATCCAAACAACCTTTCTGGCATGGTAGGACCTACAGGAACTTAAGTTCCAGCCAGTGTAGCTCGTTGGGTCATTGCGATATGCAAGCCCGACCACCACGTCAAGGTAGCAGCTTTCGGTCGGGAAAACCAGGCAAGTTTTAGGCCAGGTAGAGGGTGTATTGATCATATCTTCACCCTTCGACAGATTCTAGAACATAGGCATTCCTACCGGCGTCCGACAATCATTATATTTCTTGACCTAAAGGCGGCATTCGATTCTGTCGACCGGAAGGTTCTCTGGCGATGCTTGGCTGTAAAGGGAATGCCGAGAAAATACATAGCACTGATTAAGGCACTCTACTCGTACTCATGCAGCCAGGTGAGGGCTTATGGCGAGTTGTCATCTGAAGTGGTGACGACTAGTGGCGTCCGTCAAGGATGTCCATTATCCCCATTCCTATTCAACTTCATCATAGACGTACTAATGGACTTAACCCTAACACACTTCAGCGACTCAGGGATTGACTTGCTACCAGGGAAGAATCTCGTTGACTTAGAATATGCGGACGATATAGTCCTTTTAGGCGAGGACTCTGACAAAATGCAGAGTCTACTGAACACCTTGAGCTGCAATCTAAGAATGTTTGGCATGCGATTCGCCCCTGTAAAATGTAAGATGATGCTGCAGGATTGGACTTCACCGACCGCTAGATTAGAAATAGGAAGTGAAGTGGTAGAGCACGTTGACCACTTCAATTACTTGGGAAGTACCATCAGCCCCAACGGGTTGATCTCAGACGAAATATCAGCACGAATACAGAGGGCTAGTTTCGCATATGCCAGTTTACGCCGTCTCTGGCGTAGACGTGATATCCGACTATCGACCAAAGGGCGTGTGTACTGCTCATCAGTCCGCTCCGTCCTCCTTTATGGCTGTGAGACCTGGCCATTGAGAGCAGAAGACATGAAAAGATTATCTGTCTTCGATCATAGGTGTCTGCGTTCTATCTCCCGCGTGAAGTGGTATAATAAGGTGAGCAATATTGAGGTTAGGCGTCGAGTGCTAGGTAAGGCGGGGAAATCAATCGACGAAACTGTGAAATTACTTCGACTGAGATGGTTAGGACATGTGCTACGTATGCCTAGTCATCGCCTTCCTCGACGGGCAATGTTAGCTGATATAGGGTCAGGCTGGAAAAGAGCTAGCGGCGGTCAAACGAAAACATGGCACCAGTCAATGAAATCTACAACAGTTAGTCTAAGTCACGTAGGAAGATGTAGACTTCCTGGTTGGGGTCCTCGGGACGGTAAAAACCAATGGTTAGAAACAATTGGTGACATGGCTCAAAATCGTTCTCAGTGGCGCAGATGCATCCACTCCTTGTGACTTATGATTTCCGATGAAACTGTTTTGTTCTTCGTTATTACTACTCCTTTGTCTCACACCTCTGTTTACTGTCTATATTATGCATTTCTCCTACTTTCTTCTCTTGCTTTGTGTGCTACATGGAGTGTGGCGACTTGAACTGCTGCACATATGTGCAAAGTTCTATGTCGAAAACAGACAGACAGACAGACCTTCAAAATTAAGTTAATAGCCTCCAAAAAAGCTGGAGGTATTCCACATTTCAAATCCAACACTCAGAAAGCTATAAAGGACACCTTCACAGCAGTCGTTAAGCAGCATCACCTAGGAAACTTGCGTAAAAAAACATCAAAATTCTCCGAGTGTGACGTGGAAGGCAATCTGTATAGACACAATAGATAAGACAAAAGAACGGATCACTATAGACACCCGGTAGCCATCAGACAACAGAAGGGAGATAAACAAGGAAAGGTGAAGCTGAGCCAACAATAGTGCCTAACGCGCTGCACCTCAACTTCATCGATTTTGAGAAGGCCTTATACAGCATTGACTGCGCGAAATAATTTTCCAACTGCTTCAGCCCTGTACAGCACCACAACACACGTATAAACCTCATTCAGCAGCTACATGATGATGATGTTACAAGTTAAGTAATTCGCAAATAGAAAGCTTAGTGAAGCATTTGAAATGGAGACATGAATAAGACAAAGTTGTCTACAATGATCTATGGTGTTCGTGATTGTAGTCAACCGGATCATGCAACACTGAGTGGATTGAGAAGACGGGTATCTGTTAGATCGATAAAAAGATCCAGATTTCACGGATGATTTATGTCTTAGACCACTGAGACCCAAAGATTTATAAACGAAAACCAACAAGTTGGCGGTGAAGGCAGGGATTCAGGTGTAAACACAGCGAAGACAGAAGCATTAATCACCATTAGTGGGATAAATTTAAAGGGAGTCGTTTCTTTCACTTTTTCTTGGGAAGTATCGTCTCAGTCACAGGTGAAAGGGATGAAACTGTTGAAGTCTGTCAGGATCCTATCGGATCAGCAGGAGAGGCTTTATTTCACTGGAATCAATGTAGAGATCTATAGGTCCTCAGCACCAAGCATTGTTATATTACAGTATCAATTGATTCCTAGAAAAACATAGGGCTTCAGCCGTGCGTCTCCATTGCGTTCAGTTCTCTGCTAGAGTCTTCACCTGGCTCCATGTCTGCCCACACGTTTTCATCTCCTCTTCACATGACCTCCTGCAAGTCACCCTTGAACTGACAACCAACTCGCCGCTTCCCTTTTGGGTTCCACTCGAGCAATGGCTTGTCTAGTGATGTCACTTGATGGTTTCCTTAGATTATGACCAGCCAATCCACCTCCATTTCTTCCTGCCTATTTGTTTCACAATCGGTTCCTGCTGTGTTGGTTCGCTCCCAGAGATCTCTGTTGCTGATCTTTTCTGGCCGGCCATCTGATCTTGAATATTGAGCGAAGACAACTGTTAATGAAGGTCTGTAGTTTGTTTGAAGTGCCCTTCTTGATGCGCCGAGTCTCTGATCCGTATAGTAGCACTGACTTCACATTGGAGTTGAAAATCCGGATCTTATTTTTGGTGCTGAGTGCTGTTGACCTCCATACAGACCTGAGAGTAGTGAAAGCTTGTCTTGCTCTTCCTATTCTTACTTTGATATCCTCGTCAGTTCCGCCTGTAGTTGAAACGACGCTTCCCAGGTAGGTAATGGAGGTTGTTTCTTTCAGGTTCCCTCCATTTATGCTGGTTGTTGTCTGTTGTTGTTGGTGGTGGTGTTGCCCAGGAATCTTCATCACCTCTGTTTTCTCTATGTTCACCTGAAGTCCTATATTTGATGCTTCTTCTGCCAACTTGTTGCTTTTCGCTTGCATATCTTCCAGTTTGTGAGAAATCAGACACATATCATCGGCGAAGTCCAGATCCTCCAAGTTCTTTGTGTGAGTCCATTTTATGCCTGTTTCCTCATTGCCCACTGTTTGTCGCATTATCCAATATACTGCAATCAGGAAAATTATTGGCGATGGTAGGCAGCCTTGTCTAACTCCTGTCCTCACTTCGAAGGATTCCGTAAGTTTCCAATTGTGGATTACTTGGCATGCAGCATTGTCGTACAGCTGTTGGATGAGATGTATAATTGTCGGTGGCACCCCGTAGTAGCGAAGTAGTTTCCAAAGCACCTCTCGATCGACGCTGTCGAAGGCCTTTCCAAAGCCGACGAAGTTGAGATAGAGAGGTGACCGCCATTCCAAGCTTTGTTCAATGATGATCCGTAGTGTGGCGATTTGATCAATACATGAATTGTTTCTCCTGAATCCAGCCTGTTCCGGTCGAAGTTTTTCATTCAGTGCTTGTTTGATTCTCTGCAGGATGATGTGGCTTAGTATTTTACTTGGGATGGACAGGAGCATAATTCCACGCCAGTTCTTGCATTGACTTAAGTCTCCTTTCTTTGGTAGTTTGAATAAGTATCCTTTCTTCCAATCCTCGGGTACTTTACCCTCTTTCCACACCTTCTCCAGTAGTGGTGTCATCAAGTCTGCTGTTGTCTCTGGGTCCATTTTCAGTGCTTCTGCTGGGATTCCATCTGGTCCTGCTGCTTTTCCAGCTTTTAGCATCTTGATTGCCTTCAGGACTTCCGATTTTGTCGGGGGGTTGGTGTTCACTAGTAGCTCTGTCTCCGTTGTTGGTATTGTTGGGCGCGTTGTAGGTGGCGGTCGATTTAGAAGTCTTTTGAAGTGTTCAGCCCAGTGTTTCCTTTGCTCCACTTCTTTGGTGAGTGGCTTTCCATTGTCATCCTTCACTGGCTTAATTTGTGTCAAACTTTTGCCCGATAGGTACCTAGTTGTTTGGTAGAGTGTTGCGAGGTCTCCTTTGCCTGCAGCTTGTTCTGCTTCACTTGCCATGGCTTCATAGTACTTTCGTTTGTCTTCTCTGGCACTCTTCTTTACTCTTTTGTTCAGTGTCTTGTAGTTTGCATTCAAATCCCGTTCTTGTTGCTCGTCGGTGCACTGGATGATCTTTTGCTTCACCATCCCTCTCTCTTCTATCAGTCTCCAAGTGTCCGTAGAGAGCCACTGTTTTTCCTGTCTCTTCTTTCTGCCTAGAACTTCCATGCAGGTTTGACTCCACACTGTTTTCAAGTTGTCCCAGTGCTTTTCGACGCTGATCTCTTTGCTTCTGTTGATTTGTGTCTCGGCTTTGTCCTTTATGCTTGCAGTGAAGATGTCCTTTGTGTCCTGATCGTTCAGTTTTTGAGTGTTGAACTTGGCTTGTGGTCTATCTGCAGCTCCTGTTTATCTGAAAGCTTTTAATTTGATTTGGATTGTCCCTTGTACAAGATAGTGGTCTGAGCCAACGTCTACTCCTCTTCTTACTTTTGTGTCCAGTAGGCTGCGCCTCCACTTCCTTGAGATTGAGATGAAGTCAATTTGGTTTTTGGTTCGCCCATCTGGTGACACCCATGTAGCCTTGTGGATATCTCTGTGTTTGTATACGCTGCCACCAATCACTAGTTCATTGAAGGCGCAGAAGTCGGTGAAGAGTTCTCCGTTTTCATTCATTTCTCCGAGAGCTTCTCTACCCATGATGAGTTCCCTTCCTGTGTTGTCTGATCCCAGTTTGGCGTTCATGTCTCCCATTGGTATTTTAATGTCACCAACTGGAGTATTGTCCATTGTTGCCTGTAGTTGTCTGTAGAATTCTTCTTTCTTTTCGAAGTCTGCATTGTTTGTCGGTGCATACCATTGCATAACTGACACTTTCCTTCCTTTGGAGTTGAATCTGGCGGTCACTATCCTGGGCGAGATCGCCTCCCATTGCATCAGGGCCTTCGTTGCCGTTGGTGACATCATGATAGCCACGCCCTCAGTGTGCATGTGATTATCCTCTGGGTGACCGAAGTAGATCACTGACTCACCCCTTGACAATTTTGTGAGTCCATTCCATCTGCTTTCACATATCCCCAGTACTTGAATTCCGTATCTTTTCATTTCGTTTGCTATCTGGGCAGCTTTGCCAATCTCGTACATGGTGCGGACATTCCATGTCCCCACACAGACTTTTTCCTTTGGCGCAAAGAGATTCATTGTGCTGAAGTTTCTGTAGCAACTTTGTTTACAGGGTGGGTTGCTAGCCTCACGCCTGAGAAGGGGATTGTTACATTAAAATATAGTTTATCGAGAAGCGACCTTGTGGGTTGCTCCCCTTAAAACCAGGAAAACAGGGAATAAAACAATCAGAACAACACCAGCACAGGAAAATAATTCACAACAAGAAGGGTAACAAGCGACAACAACAATAATAATATCACAGTCAAGTACAGTTAACCAAAATGATACCAAAATCATAGACTCTATTACTGTATATATTGATGAATTTACGTGTTCAAGTTGGCTTAAGTCGGTGAGTCTATGAGTCTATGAAGAGTAAAATGTTCGTTTTTGAGATTTTCTTAAGTTGAATTTCAGTTTATATTTCCCTTTCAATCAACAATGTCTGATCATCACCAATCACTGAAAGCTGTCCTATACATATGAAGTGCCCTTTTTTATTGATTAATGTTGAGCGTGTATTTATTAAATTACAGCAGTCAAAAAGGGGCTAATATAGTTGTTTTTATGCTATTTTATTTTTTATAGGTTTTACCGAATGATTTCTTCTTAACTGGATGTCATGATGAATTTATGGAGAATGCTCGTCTGTTAATGTTTGAATCATTCTGTCGTATACATCACAGTGTTGGTATTAGGTATGTGGCATTCTCAAGTTACAATTTTGATACTGTTAACTATTAAGGTGTGATTGCCTGGATTTATGTAATGTGTATCATTCGTTCTTACAACTTTAAATAGTCTATTTTAAATTGGTTAATACTATGCAAACTCCACTTTGTGAGATTTTTAGGGAAAAATTTACTCAGTTGTTGTCGTAATAATTTTCTTTCCATATTAGAATCCCTGTCAGTTTAGCGTGAAGAGGAGAGAACTGTTTTTTTTTTCAAATATTCGATAACAGCTCATTACGTTTAGTTATGTGATTAGTTATCATTTGTTTCAATATTCTAATCTTTCCAAAAAAAAATGTTTTTCTTCTGCTTAGTATTCTTTATCATATTTTGACTTCAGTGTTGGGTTGAGTTGTTTTTCCTGTTTTTGTGTCTTTCAGAGGACAGGGTACAGGTTTCAGGGTACAGCAGGTTGAAGATGAGGCAGTAACTCATCGAAGAAGACATTGAGAAATGGTCGCGCTATGTCGTGAATTGGCAGAAGTGTTAGAATTCATGGGCCATTGGATCGGGTCCCAGTGGCTCAATGGTCTACGAGCTAGCTCGCCTTGTAACCAGTAGGTCCTGGGTTCGAACCCCGGTTGGTGCGTACTGATGAAGAGTCCTAAACTGGGACGGAATAGCTGTCCAGCACTCCATGCAGGTTTTCTAGTGGCTCTCTAGCCAATGTCAGCTCATGATGAAATCCCCCATCCAATCTTAGAGGAGACATACCTTGTTTCATGCTTTACCCCTAGATTACGAGTTTTAAATTTACTCTGCGTCAAACTCAACTAAGGGTTTTCCTAATAATTTTTAACGATTCAGCAGTGAGTAACCGTGGCCCCAATCGGTGGTCGAACCCATGATTTTTTAGGCTAAACGGCAACCCCGTCAACCATTCAGTCACTGGGACGAAATCCAGTCGCTCACGAATTCTAAATCCTGCCAATTCTCGATACATAGCGTGACCATCAACTAATCTTAAGTCGCAAATTGACAGATGTTAGAATTCTTGGATCATCAAATTTTGTCTCTGCGGTTGAATGGTCGGCGTGTTTGTTTTTTTAGCTTGAAGGTAATTGGTTTGGTCCCCGGTGGTGGGATCATGGCCGCGCACTGATGAGGCGTCGCAAACTAGGAAGAAATATCTATCCAGTACTCCCTGTTGGTTTTCAATAGTTCTCTAATTGAAATCAGTTGGGGATGGAAAAATTCATATTAGGTTACTGTATTGAGTTAAAAGCAGGCGTCTGAATATTGTTGTCTTCTATCCTCAGTTTTGATTGAGTTTCATTTACGTACTTTTTTTTCTCTAAATCCGTAGTGTTCTTGCTGAAAAATTGAACATGGGTGTAGAAGATGCTGAGAAATGGATTGTAAATCTTATACGCAATGCTCGTATGGATGCAAAAATCGATTCTCAAAAGGTAAAGTGATTTTATTTATGTAAATTATTTGTTTTCTAAAGTTGTATAGTTCGCATAGTTGTATTTCAGGGTATTTATTTGTATTCATTTCCCTACCCTGTTCATCACATCATCATCAGATTGGTGGATGATTAACATGCAAATTTATCTGCATTAATGTTTTAGTTGCTTACTTACATATTCCACGTCTATGTACACCAGACCACTTGAAGGATAGTTCTATCTTTTTGGATAAGTCAGAGTTGTTAAGATACTTCTAAGGTTACTAAACAGAACGGTTAGCATCCCATGTTTGTCACTTTAACTATGTTGTAAGTGCCAGCCTTATAATGCTTTATACCGCTTCTCAAAGGAATTCTTTATTTTTCTGCTTTTTGGTTTGATATGATTGTCCCTTGTACAGCATATTGAAATACTGGGTGTAATTTTATAATATAACACTGGTACTTTTATTATTAACCAAATGTAAACTATTGTTGACTCGCTTATCTTATCTGGATTCCACTCTAATGGTATTTTCCTGTTTTGAAGAGTTAGTTTGTGTCTATTTGATTTGTATCAAGTTTTACCACGGATTGATATCAGTCAGAGAAGCATTGAAAACCAGCCACAGATATTACTGGACATATGTTTCGTCCTAGTTTCGGACTCACCGGTAATACGTACCCATTGAACCTCGAACCCCAGGACCTTCCTGTCACAAGGCGAGGTCGTAGACAATTCAGACACTGGGACAGGAGGCAATGGACAGTTCATGAATCCCAACTTCTCGTTTTCATGAGGTTTTCTATATGATGACAATACTGTATCACACTGAAGCATCAATTCGCTATGGTAGTGTTCATGGTCGCTGTTTTTTCGAACAATATGTTTATAAAGTTTGTAAAGACCTATGATTCTTTTGATCACCCCAGAATCCAGGTTAGAACTAACCCTTGATTGCTGCACGTCGATGTATATTTCTGTTGGCGGATCATAAAAGAATTTAATTTTTTGTTTGTTAGATTTCTTTATGAACCAACATCAATTATAGAGATCATTGAGAATCAGGGCACACTTACCAGCTATTTCTTTCTAGTTTGAGACTATTCAAGAGTGTACTCCCATGACTTCACTAGGGATCGAAGACGAGGACCTTCAGGTGACGAGATCGAGGTCGTAGACCATTCAGACACTTGGGTTGAAATTCACTAGCGCGTGAATTCTAACTTTGTTAATTCGTGTTATAGTGCTACTCCCACTCTTGCCTACAATGAGCATCCACTTCACCCTGGTATGATGTATTCGACTGGTCACTAATTCTCACTACAGCTGTCCAGTGCTTCTCAGTTTTCAATGAGATCTCTCTAGCTAATGTTGATTCATAACGAAATCTAACACAATTGGAATTTTTAATTAATCCAAATCCTTACAATTCCCACAATGTGTAAATAAGAGAATGGCGATGAGCTTTACCCTCTCCCCCCATGTTTCCACTATATTTCTTTTTTAAAGGGGGTTCAGTTATTAGATGACTTCTGTTTGCTCAATAGGTTTTTGTGTCAATTTTTTTCATTTTTGTCTCTTTTTGTTTTCTGAAATAATCAATTACGACGAACATCTAATTTGAACACTTCGTTGTTTTTTTGGTTTAGGGTGTTATTGTAATGGGTACACAAAATGTTTCACCTTATCAACAAGTTATTGAACGTACTAAAACTAGTGGAACATGTGCACATAAACTCTTAGAAAGATTACGTTGGGAGAAATCAATGGATAATATTGGTAAGTATTGATGAATATACTACTAATTTCTTTTTGTGGGAAATATAACTGTTTCTTCTGTATACTACTGATTATTGATTGGAGTGAGTAGTAGCATAGCACTAGTAGTATATCAACCAGTAGTACTGCTTCCTAGCCAATCAAATCGACCTGGCCATTTCAGCCGTTCGGTGGGGTGGAGCTCATCAGCTGTGTGTGTGCCTGGTTTTGAGTCAGCTCAGAAAGGTGAATCAGTTAGCTGAAATTACCTGAGTTCTGGCTACTTACTTGGTAACACTGTGAATCAAATTCACAATTTGTAATGTACACACATCGAGGAGTGGCATTTTTACCACAGTTGCCAAATTATTCAAATCACAGTATGTGGTGGTCTACTTGGTTTCGCATAAATGGTAATCAAAAGATCAAGCACATTTGTGTAAAACTCTATACTACTGATATACAAATTGTGAATTCGATTTGAATTTCCTTTGTACTTATTCTGTATGTGTGTGACTTTATTTTCTTGTACCGCTTTATATTTATATCCCTTGGATGTTTTACCCTATGTTAAAGTTAAACTTTCTATATCTTAACATAAAAGAACAAAAAATAGTGTAGTTGGTTAGTAGATAAGAGACATGGTAACGGACTTTTTATTAAGTAAAAACACACCGTATTTATGTATTTCTAGCCACATTTAAGGTCGACTGGGTCAGTACACAATGAGCTGTTCTGATTGGATGCTGACCTGGCGAAGTTTGAACCCTGGGAAGAAAAGTTGTCCAATGAGATTATTTCCTGATCACAAGGTAAACTAAATCCAGATTTGAGGAATAAACACTTCTATCTCCTCAGCTATTGAATTAAAAATGCTGTTTTCAATTTTGACTGCCTCCTATCAAATCTGCATCTATATACTACTCTTAAATCATGTTTATCGCACGCACTACAATAGGACCACTGAAAAAGACTATCAATAGAAACAAGATGAATGAGTTGATATTTAAATTATCATGGTTTTTCCCAATGGTTACAAACTGAGTTTGGTCAAAACGTTGTTCAGCAATGGGAGAGCGTTATATTTAGTCCCGGAGACATATATGATGTGTAGATTTCCGGCACACCATACATGAAAGGTATACGTGAACCTCCTAGTTTGATTCCATTTATCCGCCCCCTTCCATACAAGAAAGAAGGCGCAGCAAGGAGAAGAGGAAAAAAGCATTAAACTTTTCCCATCAGTAGATTGATTCCTCTTCCTGACACAAAGTGCTCACTAATTGAGTTTGAACTATTTCCCATTCATACTACCTCCACTTGCATTTACTTATTCACAGCACTTTTAGTCGCAAGTATATAGGAAAGACTGAAAAGATAGCGTATACTGGGTTTTCTAAGCACTTGCTTGATAATTTTCGCATGTGACGTAAGAGAGTGTTTGCAAACGCAATCAATAGTCATCTCATGTACATGGGACATACAGTTGAAATCAGTCAAGTCGTCAAAATAATCAGCTTATACAGAAAACTCTGCTTATTCGGCTTTACACAAGCCACTATTATCAAACGATTTCATTCTGTGATTAATATCTCTCTCTCTCTCTCCATTATCCTGGTAACTAAATGTTAATTTTTTTGTTTATTTCTTATCGCGTTACAATCTTTTAATTTCCACTCTTAACTGAACTCATTATTAACTTTCCAATTCATTCAATCGTCTGTTTACGTACTAACTTAACTCTTACTCATCATCTCTTCTCACTGTCATGCTCTCCTCTCGACAACTTACATTATATCATGTATTTATCCCTCCTGATGCTCCATTAGTATGCTGAGAATTATTAAATGCCCCTTTTGAATTGAAGTAGTTTTTATGTATATTATAGCCTTTATGTCATGACAACTATAACGTCATATTTAGTCTGTTAGCAACTAAGGAAAAACCGTAAAGTAAAAGAAAGCTTTTTATCCCTCAAATATGTTCGTTCCTGTTTTTTTGCATTTTTAAACGTAAACTCACCGCTACTAACTTTTTACTCTGTACACTTTCTCCCGAATTCTGGTAGATTCTCTACCGATGCGATGTCTTTGAAATACTTAATCGTAATGTATTAAAAATCCATTCGTTCCTCTTAACATTAGAGTTTTCATCTCTGATGTAGTGTGATTAGGTTAGATAGTGTGTGAGACTCGGACTCGTAATTCCAGTAAACTGGCACGGATCGTTTATTATTATTTTTTATAAGGAAAGAGGGCAAATATGAGCTGATGAGGGATCAAATTTTCTATTATCAAACTCTGAAGATCATAGTTACACAAAACCGAACAGAGCTAGGGGAAAACTGAGAGTACGTGACAGTTTTCAACCCTTCACTCTGTGGATAGTTGAGATGTATGCCAATCATTCGTCACATTTCAAAGTATTGGTTTGTAGGGATTTGATTAGTTTGAATTTGCATCTCACTAACTGACTCCGGTTAGAGAACTAGTGAAAACAAACAGGGAGTAATTGGACAGCTGTTTCGTCTTTGTTTGTGACTCTTCAGAAGTACCTATCCATGACTTGTTATATTTTCCTTGAGTTGATATATGGTATACTACTTCATCGATCGAAAAATTATTGTTGACGGAGGATTGTCTTCTGAAGTTGGTGAGAGTTAGTTTTACACCTAGCCATCTCGTTCCTATTTAATTGATATATATATATATATGTGCATATATATACACATATATATATATATATATTAATATGTGTAAAACTTGGGCACTGTAGTAGTAAGTAATTCCATATTAGTTTGTTAATTAGATGTATCACACAGTGAAACAGCATTATTTACTGGATGACGTTCATAATCATATCAATTGATGAGCTCAAATAGAGCTGTTAACGGAGATCCAGTTCAAATACAAAAGGCTTATTTGGCATTCCTGAAAGTGCCGTAAGACGTAGTAACTTAAGGGAAAAGATATGAAATGTTTTCATGGTTTTGACTGTAGGTATCTTTGCTTAACTTTTTGTAAGTTAAAGTTAAATTCTTTGTATTGAGTGTTACGCAACATCCATTTGTAATCCCGTGCATTTGGCGATGGCAACACATTTTGTGTGAGGGTTAGAGATACAATGTGACTGCACACATATGGCATGATGCACATTGATTGGGAGCGGCCGAAAACTGAAATCAGAATTTTGAGCTAATGACTGCAGAGGTAGAAGTGTCTATTCCTCAAATTTGGATTTAATTTACATTGTGGACATGAAATAACCTCATTAAACAACTTATTGGAAGTTGAGCGCCTAGACCCTATGAGCCCCACAGCTCCACATACTATGTATTATTGAGGTTGAAAGTTAAGTTTTGGATACAATGTGCAAGAGTATATAAACACTGTTTCCTAATATTCTGTATAATCAAATCTTTATGCAGAGTAGAGTATCTTCCTACATGATTTTAATCCTGATGCATATTTTGTTCTTTTTTCCCTGCATAATATAGTGGATGTTTTTAAATCTGTACGTCTAATTGCCTAATTCCTGGAATTATTCTATATGCTCTCCAGTAATCCTTACGGTTAACGATGACTAATGTATTAATCAAACAACTTTGCTGGCCACCGGATGATGTATTTATTTTTAAAAGAATTATAATACATTATTTTTTGGAAGTTGTTCTTCTTTCTGTTTTTTTTTACATTTTTTTGGGGGGGGGGGAGGGCAGCTAAACGTTAACTTTTAAAATTTATAGGAAGATTCTTCCTATTGCCTCATGCATATATGTGAACATCGAAAATAATGCTTCCTATGATTCTTTCTGACCAATCCTGCCTTCTACAAACTTGCATCACTTTCCACAAGAATTTGACATGTGCTTTTACAGATGCTGTGGTAAGTACTGAACTGAAGGTTAACTTTATGAAGTCGACCAGTAAAATACTCAAAACAAAGACAGATAGTTGACGAAAATGAAGATACTAACAGACGTAAGGATAAAAGTGCTAAAAGTTCTGTTCTTTGATTGGGGGAACAATATAATGATGAAGAAATCAGTGTCTACACATACCTTGTTTGTGAAATTGTTTCAAAAGTTTCGAGTTGAATCGACTTTTATTGGATTGTTGGTTCATAGTTCCCTTGGGGGGCTGAAATACTCTCAGATTGAATGAAACACTTGGATCCACTTGCTGCCTTTGACTAAGAGATCGATACAAAAGGTATTACAGTAACGTAGGAGCTGTGTTACTATGGATGTAAGTGACCAAAATAGGTTCAAATTCTGCTAGTTTCTTTCACACTCGGGTTCGCATGTGTATCAATTATTTCGTATCGGGGTTTTTCAACTCTCCTCCACGTTTGCTGCTGCGGCCACTGTTCGTGGATATTTTATACCTGCTCTTTCACAACTAACTGAAGAAAAATCTTTGCTAACTAGGAATAACAATTTAAGTTTTAGAATTGAAGACTTAATCTATAGGAAGCACCGTTTGGCTCGAGGTTCATGCTTGCTGCTTCTGACAATAAAATACTATGAGAAATTTCCTGCCTTGGGTTAAGGTTTAAGCCTCTAATTGCTTCAGAGAGAAGCTGACTTGACACTCACGAATATTTCAATATATGTATGGTTGGATGAAATATTAGAACTCACCAGTGGATTGTAATTCTTGTGACTAGTTAAGAGTTTTTCGACCGTATTTACTTAATAGACTTTGGAAAATAAAATTTATCAACGTGATTTAGTGAGTCCTCGATTAATCTGTCAGCAATCAAGGTAAAGATTGAAGGATTACTATATGTATAGAATTTGTACCCTGCGGTAGTCTGTAATTCCATATTAATTTGTTTATTGGATATATCACACAGTGAGTTATTTACTGGATGACGTTTCGAACACAACTAATTATTCATAATCATATTGTAATGGTAGAAGATGAAAGACTCGGTAAGGGAATGTTTATTTGGTATCGCTATATAGTGAAATTATGTACACCTTATCTTCAGCGCACCATTTGTACAGATCTTCCGTGTTGTGCTACTTGTGGTCTTCATGTCGTCTTTTTTGTGTTCCTTTCACGTATCCCATGTATCTCTGCCGCGCTATATCATTTTCTTTCTCTGACATCACATATATCTCCCTGCTGTTTCTATGTTTTTTTTATGCCGATGAACATCTCTTCATGTACTGCCGATAAATCTTATCAGTTGTACATGATTGAAGAAAATGTTATCCAGACAACTGTGTATATGTATCTCTTAGATACAATCGGGAAAAGAATTTTCTGACAAGCTTTTCTGTGCTTTGAAGTAAAGTCCTCTTCCACTCCATCTGCGCTCACAGATTCCTGACACCGACATTCCATTTCTTCTGGAACCTGAGCATAATGATGACATTCGACGTCCACACGCTTTCTTTTGCTTTCATAGAAAGAAGACATCAAACTACGGGCTTCCCAAAGGCTTTCACTCATCGACATCATCCATCTACGAGTTGACGACGCTTCTCGAATCTGCCAGAGAATCAGTTTATTGTTCAGTGGCAAAGGGGTTTGTTCTACGTGATGGTGTTGCTAGTCACACGCCTAACCTCCCTTCTTTTCTGGGCTTATAACCAACTAGTAATCTAGGTGAGATTGATGAATAGTATTCTCAGGTAAAAGCCACAAATCTTCTTCTCTCTCTAAACTATACACACGAGTGATCCGCGGTTCACCCAACCAACCACTTAAGTGTACGTGCTCAGGATTAGATGTCTGCAAGTAGTGTGTATCATTGATTTTCAATTATTCTATCAGAATGTTAATCTCCACCTCATTAGGGGCTTCTAGAGAGATTTCTTAAAGCTCTAACGAAGAGTTGTGGAGTCCATGATGTCATCACTGTAAACTTGGGTATCACATGGAATACAGGGCTCCAACAGCAAGTCTCCATTTTGTTCTGTTTCCTGCAATCCTCTTCAGCTGGCTCCACGATTGTCCATAAGTATTCACCTTCTCTTCACACAACCTTCATGCCAATCTTGAACTCGTTCTTTCTTATTCGGGTTTCACTCAAAGGCCTAGCGTGGAATGTCAGCCAACGGTCTTCTCAGCATGTGTTCGGTCAATCTCCATTTTCTTCGGCATATTTGTTGAGCAACAGGTTCTTGGTTGGTTCATTCCCATAGTTTCTTGCTGTTAATTCCTTCTTACCGGCCATCTAATTTTCACTATGCAACCAGCGAAGGCACATATTAATGGAAGTCTGCAACTTTTTGGAAATACATGAAGCGTTAAGTTTCAAACTCATTCTCGAGAACTGACTGTTGAATACAGCAGATTTGCAAACTGATTTCAAAGTGGAGATCTTCCTTGCCCTTCTGACTTTGGCTTTGAAATCCTCATCGGTGTTGCCTGTAGCCGAAACGATGCTGCACAGTTAAATAAGTGAAGAAAGTGACCTCTGTCGAATTTATTCCTTTAATAGTTACTAGTACTTCTTGTTGTAGGTCGCTTATCTTCATCACCTCCGTCTTCTCAATGTTTAGCTGAAGTCCTGCTTTTGGTGTTTCTTCCGTCAACTTGTTGGTTTTTGCCCATAGGTCCTCAAATTTATGTGACATTAGGCATAAATAACCCAAGAAATTCAGATCTTTTCGAGTCTCCTTATCGATCTAATGTATTCCTGCCTTCTCGCTCCGCACAGTCAGCTGTATAATTCAGTCCACCACAATTAGGATTATCATCTGTGATAGTAGGCATCAGTGTCATGGTATCTTCTTAATTGCATTATGGCTTTTTTGATTATTCTCATTTTAGAAACATGATAATTTGCAGTCATGTTCACTTCTGTGTTCTGTAATTTAATGTTGATAACACTGTTATTCGCTTAGAACAGCAGTGTAATCTGATGGTGATGATTTATGTGGTCGTCTACTGACATCAAATAGTTCCCCACCGAATTTAAGATTAGCTGGAACTAAAATACTACCGACTTCATGTATTGCCGTATTATTCAGTGGGGTTAGGTAGGAAAAAAATTAATTCTTGATAATTATGGGGTGGAGTGAATTAGTCTGTACCATCATTTTGGGCCACATACTGTGATGATATTCTCATCACAATTAATTCCTATTTATTGAGTTCTGAGTGGAACGTTGAACTTCAAGTGTCGACGGTTTAAGAAGCGGTAGTGCTGTGGCAGGATTACTAACCTAACACCCACCCTTCTGTCTTTTCTGGGTGCACGACTGGCTAATAAACTAGGTGAGGCTTTATAAAGGCTTCGGTAGCGAATCGACCCTTATCTCCCATGTGACTGACGAGTATTCAACCACAGTCATTCGAGTGGTCTGCAGGGTTTCGATAATGATCATACAGACCTCCTGATCGCTCTTGATTACTCGATATTTTTGTGCTAATTATTTTTACCCCTTGCTTAATATTAGTATTCATTACATAATCGAACGATCCCCTTAGTTGAGAGAATACTCATGCGCGCGCCACCATATTCAACTGATTTCTTAAATAATTATCGGCAGTAAATAAATAAGAAAGACAAGATGTCTGAACGAAAAAGAAAACAGAAATATATGAAGAAGAGGAGAGCAAGATAGGTGAAAGTCAGCAATAGATTTCATGAAAGTATTTGTGTTCTGATACATAGCTTGAAATTTCATTCTCTCAACTAGTTAGCTTTACTGAATACAGTAGTAGCCTGAACCTTCCCACTACTGATTTATGGAATAAAGCTGGTTGGTTTATTTTATGTAGGCACACCTCTTCTCTGCATAGTTAACTAAACTTTCAGAAGATCTTAATTGTAAAAAAGATACTTTGGATAGTTATCCTGTGGCTCTTTCAGGTCAATGAAGACAGATTTTGATCGGTGTCATTTGAAAAAAAATATTGATAATATGTTAAGAATTCTAGCTAGTGCCCCTGTGTGGCATGAAAGTGTATGTTGGATAAGGTTACATTTTAACATAAATACAGAACAAATCTACCGGCAAAACTTGCAGTAGGTTTCAGTTAAAGTTTTGACTTTGCGATACAAAAACGTACGCATTTACGCCACACTTTTAAATGCCAGTTTGTTTAAGACATAGGTCCCGGGCTCCACACGAAAATTGACTTTTCGAAGTATTTATTATCAAATAATTCTGCATACCAGCAGGAGGTCGAGTCTCATTTGACAGATCGGTCTTTGTCAAAACACTCAATGCCTAACAATTGCACCGGCTGTCGTCCAGCATCATTATGAAATACGAGTCTTCACATATTTACACACATTTGGAGGTTTGATATCAGACAATACAGTGGTCTGTTCACAATAACTTCCTACATATCACGACAACAGTTTGGGTAAGCAGTCAGACATTTAGAAGTGTAGGTTCGACGACGCCTACAATTTTTACTGCACTCTGGTTCGTAACTAGTGCAATGTGTCTAGTCCTTTCTTTGAGTGAGACTCAATTCCGACAGCAGCGCTGTACAATTTGGCCGCCATTCTAGGTGTCTAGCCATCATAGTGCACCTTGAATTGTTGATATTAGATTGTTGGAGGTGGACAGGAAGCCTTGGACCCAGCTTTCGTGCTAAGCGACAATCGTCAGCAACCCGGGTTCCAAACTCAGAAGGGACATTAGTTCTTTCGAAGTTGCGGAAACGCCTTGCTGGCAAAACCTGGGTCTAAG